TGGCAAGTAGTACAAGATCATGTTCTCTGCAGATTTTCTTGGGTGCACGCAGCATTGAACATCAGGTCCATTCTCACATGCATGTGTAAGATCTGTGGCAGAAGCCGCAACACATGTATGATCCAGCACCTGAACCAGCATGACCCCCGCCGCCCGGCCCCCTACGGCATTGGCCCTGCGCTGTTCGGTTGAGGTAGGCAAGAACACGGGCCGTCGCACCAAGCTTAAGGCCTACAGGTTATGTCCAAGCACAAGCTGCAATCGTGGCGATGCGTCGCCTCGTGCCCCCGGTTCTGTTCACGTGTGAACTGTGTCCGCAGCCTGCCACAACGAAACCAAGCACAATCGTTCAGATCACGAATGTGCGCCAACTACTGTTGCCTCGCACGTCGAAAACTTGCGAGTCGCGGAAAACTGATCGCAACAGGTCCAATCCCAGCGACTATTGGCGTTCGTACATCGAAATGACGATCCCATCCTCCGAAAACATACATGCAACACACCACTCTCTTGCTCAACTCTCCCGACCTACGCTGCTCTTGAACACCTTGCTCAATGAGGGTAATTTTCATGCAGCCCTGCAGGCATTGGATGCGAAGAAGATGCAAGACCTGCCGACACTTGTCTGTTTAATGTGCTGAGGTTGCTGAGGTTGACCAGGCATGGCCAAATATCCGTTCATCGAAGCTAGGTTGCGAATCCTGGCTTTCTTCAGATTAAGCGAGGCGAAGCATGTGAGGGACAGCCTTCTGGAAGAACACAATCTACAATTTCGGGGCCAGGGGCTGTCATCCAAATGACCACCATCATCTCCCATTCGGAGCACCTCGCATGATCTGCATCATGAGCATCATTTCAGCTTGGTGACCCGCATGAGGTCAGCATAATGAGCATGACGGGGACTTCGTTTCTGCCAAGGCTACAGCCCCCCCCGTGCCCGTTCAGCAGGCCCCAGCAGGCGCCGACAAACGAGACCCCGATCAAGTGCACCAATGAAAAGTAAGAGTAATAATAGCAATAGTAATGACAGTCATAATAGCAATAATGGTATTGACAATAATAATTGTAACAGTAACAGTGACAGGAACAGTAATAGTAATAGTCATAGTAATAGTAATGGTAATAGAGTCCTAACACTAGCACTAGTACTAGTAATAGTAATAGTAACAGTAACAGCACTGGTGATAGTGCCAAAAGCCATCGCTGGACCTGGGCGGCAAGCTTGTGGGAGATGCCCGGGGCGCAGGTTCCGCACAGGAGTTTGAGGCGCGAATGCACTCTGCTCTGGTGACCTCGAGAACTTCTGAAAATGGGTTGATGGAGTGGTGGTGGAAGTGGTGGAAGTGGTGGAGGCAGGGAGCCTCAGCACTCTACGAGGACGGCGAGGCAATGGCCCAGTCCTGGGACCCACCGAGCCAGCAGCGCAAGGAGCATCATGGGGGGTGACTTCCTTTCTGCTCCTTGCGCCTTTTGAACCTCAAATCTGGTTGTGGTCTTGGTAGCAAAGGCTCGACTTGGTGGACTGTTCGCGCCGAAGTGTGCCCGTGATTCTACGATCGCTGGATAAACCAGATCCCTTGCATGCCGAACAGCATGATGCATGGCACATCAGCAGCACCATCAGCACCAGCGGCAGCAGCGGCGCCAGGAGCACCAGCAGGCAGCGGCAGCACCGGCAGCACCGGCAGCACCGGCAGCGTCGTCGTCATCATTCGTCATCGTTGTTGCCCTAAACCAGTCCTAAACCCTGAAACCTCAAACGTTATGTTCCTGACAATGGTGCCAACGTAGAATTGCAAATCAAACTTCGACTGCCAGAACACCTCGGCGATCAGACGTTACCGTCCGTGGTCTCGGCAGTGTGTGACCTCCAGCATCTGTGTAAGCACTCTCCAGAGTCTGGAGGATGCTTGAACTACACTAGGCTTTCATTGATTTGGATGACAGGGGGCATATGGACGATAATTGAATGATTTGGCGACCCAACATCCGTAGCCTGTGGTTCCCAGTGACCGCAGCACACATATGAGGATTGTTTCAGTTGCTGTTACATCGGCACTTCTGAGGTCCTCCACTGCATCCACAGCGCCACCTTCTCCAACTTGCAGCATGTAGCCTGGCGGCATACCGAAACTACATCTACGCAGCTTAGTCAAATGTTGGTCCCTGAGGCCTCTCACATCTGCAGCGGTGTCCTCACCGAACCGGGATTTTCTCTGGCAGCTGGAGCGGGAGAAGGCAGCTTGGGCCCGCATAGGGAATTATTTTGGATTATGCACACAAGGACAGGGATCACAAAGGGTTGTGTTTCGCACATAAGCACAACCTTTCAGACAATCCGTTATGTGCAGCAACAGACTGTTGTGCTGAACGGAGTCTTCTCCCGACGCGTTGCGCACCTTCAACCTCGCCTGCGGGCTGCGTTTGTGGAGAACCCAAACACATGTCTTAGGAGCTGTCCGCGCTTTCACGCGATGAGCTCCGTCAAGAGCTTGGACTTGCGACTCGTTATGGCAAGAGAGATTTTGCAATGCATGTCGCGGTAGAGTAGTTAAGGTTTGTGTTGCCCATTGGTTAAGGACGGCACAGATGTCGCAGAGAACTGGAGCCGGCACGACCTGCTGATAACTTTGGTGGAGATGGAGAAGGCATGGTCGGTACGGTACGGATGGTATTCGGCCTCAGTTAACGAATCCATCAAGATGCACAATGCAACGGCTTGGGGAAGGCCGGCCTGTTCAGGTCATTCCGGACATGTCTCGTCTGGCGATCTGACCTGCCCAAGTAGTTCGATGACAGTCAAGGCTTTAAGAGCTGACTGTCTTGCACCAGCTGCTTGGGCTGCCATTGTCAAAGACTTTGCGCAAGCGTGGCCCTGCCAGCAGATTCCGCCTTGCAGCTGGGGCTTAGAATTCAGGCATGTCGCATTTGAAGAGTACAGCCGCGGAGCTTGTTGGGGCAACTGCGCTGCTCTGTAAATGGGAAGCAGCACCCTCACCCCACTCACTTTAAAATCGCATTTTTGAGGTGTCAGGCATGCAGCTTTGGGCACCGAAGGCAGGCGGAGCTGGTCCGATCCTGCTTTGCCACATCCTTCGCCACAGGCTGCGCTGACTAGCCTAGACCTCGCGGAGTATGCTTGATTTCCTGGGCCTGCAAGAGTGGAGCAAGGGTTCTCTGGCCGTCCATCTTTGAGCCCTACTTGATCTGAGCTTCCGACACTCCCAATTATGGGGAGCTTGCCGAGGAGGGGGGATCTTGGCAGTTTGGCGCAAAGAAGCAACGCCTTTTCTCGAGGCAGCAGGCAGAGCCTGCGGCCCTCGACACTCCAAAAAGACCCTTTTCAATCAGCTTGGAGGCAAACCCCACCGGCCTAGTTGTCCTAGTTCTACTGAATCAAGAAGCATCTCCGAAGCCCAACGCTTTCGACGGAGTTCAAGACAGGTGGGTGGTCCACAGGCCAAACTCTCGCAATTGCGACGAGTTTGGTCTGGTGTGCCTCCTTTCAGAGCTTAGCGGGCAGTCATGGCCAACCCTGCTGCAAATGTTTACTTGGTGCTTTGGACCAGTTTTGCATTGCGCCTGGTGTTCGCAGTCCCACCAGCCAGAAGAAGAGCAAGTTGCAACATCTGATGCTCGAAAGCAGACTGTGACCCCGGCGCAAGGCCTCAATTTTGAATGACAATCCGGGTGCTACTCCGCGTCCGTGTGCGGTGCTGGAGACGTTTGCCGAAGGTTCTGCTCCAACAAAGAACTCGTTCAGCCAGTCATCTCCAGTGCCGACCCCTGTCACTAACACAGACAATGAGACACAAGCGGCTCGTCTGGTGACGGTGCCAGTGGTGCCCATTCCAGAGTAATACCTTCGTTCCTGAGGTCAGCATTAGCTCGACCACGGTGCCTTGCCGCACTGGATGTTCAGTTTTTGCCTTGTACATACAATGAGGAGTCGTGTGCCTTCCGTGGCCTTGAAGACAGGTTTCGTCCGGCGTGGACGTGATCCGTGTTCAAGGAGGTGTGCATGACTCCGGCAATCAGAGGACCTCAGACTTGCGACAGAAAAAATCCGCGTGTCTGCTCATGGGTGTCAGAAGCTCGAACGTGACACTTCCTGCTTCACGCCTGTTGGACCATGGGTGTATCATGGTGTATCAGAAATGACCAGACATAGCTTGTGATCTGAATTTGGCGAGACGGGTAGGCACACGTTTGAAGCTGAGTGTAGCCTTCGCCTCATTGAAACCGGATGGAAACGGGCGCTGCTGCTTCTGAGGTGTCGGGTTCGCTCGTCATGTTTCGTTTTCGAGTTGAAAAGGTGCCGGCGGGTACTCTTGAAAGTGTTGAGCTTGCTCTTTGGGGGCACATTTGAGGGTTGGGAGGTTGCTACCGATCTCTCCTTGTGCAGGGGTTGCAGATATGCCGAACGAAGGTTCTGAGTTGTGCAGAGAGGGTTTTCTGCTGCGCAACACGCGAGATAGCGAGAAGTCGAGCACATGCGCCTAGACGTAATTGCTGCATTCGGAATCCTGGGCCCGCTCAAACATCTTCGGTCTGCACACGCTGCAGAATCCTGTTGAGATCTTCTGCTCAAGCTTTCAAGGGATGTTCCAGATATGTCGCTGATCGCAGTGGCAGTCAAGACAGGTCTAATGGTGTAACTGCTTTCTGTTGTGTCGCTGTTGGGACCCGCATCTGATCATGATGGTCCCGACGTCCATGGCCCGGAGACCGGAGAGTAGGGGACAGCCTTGAGCAGTCGAGTTCTTCGTCTCTTGCTCTCGTGCTTCTAAGATGAAAGTGGCTTGTGCACGAGGTCGCTGAAGCAGCAAAGGAGGCCGATCACCTGGTCAGCGGGGCCCTTTTCATACGATGCCTCGGCGACTCATCACGAGAGGTTTTCATGCAGATTGCGGAGTTGCGCACAGCCCTCGAACTGGCCACTGAAACGCCTGCGAGCATTGGGTTCATGGTTTGAGGCGACGACCCTGCTGTCTGTGGTGATGGCTTTCGGCATTGTCACATGCGGACTTTATCCGTCAGCAGGCACTGATCCATAACACCTTAAGCCTTCTGTGTCGCACAGCCTGGGTGGCAGGATGGGTCGGCAGCTCTACTCCTGCCGAAGCCCCAGAGAACAAACAAACCTCAAGTGACCGCGCAGATGCATGAGTGATAGAATCAAAGCTTGGCTTCAGGGGATCGTTTCTCGAAGTGCCAGCCTCAACAAGCAGCTCCACGTGCTCCTCGAGAGTGTCGTTGCGAATCGCAGGCATACCGCGCACGCAAGCGCGAGTGCAAGTGGGAGAACCAGCCTTCAGACCTGCTTATGGCACTGCCGGCATGGAGTTAAAATCAGCACCGGACGGTGTGACAGTGCAGTAGTTGGGATCAGCTGCAAGGCTTCGAGCGTGCGTCGCCTTTGGGACCTCAGCCGCAAGACGGAGAGGAACGGGGCTTTCTCGGAGCCGTCGCGACGGTACAGCGCAGCTGATCGCATGAAGCCTCCAAACACATTTTGGCTTATGTGGTTCTTGCAGGCTGTGGCGGGCCTTCGCACCTGGCTCAAGCAGATGGGCCTTGAGGTAAGGTTCTCGTAGAATGCGGTGAGAAGCCACGAGCGTGTGTGTGCCTGGGTTGTGTGAGCGTGTGGGAGTGTTTGTGCGCAAGCAAGGATCACCTACCTGCTGCCAACGCGTGGTGTGAGGAGATGGGCTCGGCACCGAGTTGGACCGAGTATAGGACCGGACGGCCAGCTGTGAAGACGAAGTTCGGGAAGGCGCCTCGGTGATGGCCGAGATTTTGGAGGATCTGGAGGACTTCGTGGAGGCTTGCACGGATCGACCATGATCGAGTCATGACTTGCTTGGGCTTGGGTCCTCTGAGGGGATGAACCTCAATGACGACGATTCGCAGACCCTGAGAAAGTCCTAGCACTCAGAGAAATCCATTCAGGTGTGCCCAGTCGCATGGCTTCCAGTTTATGACCTGCAGGCGTGGAAAGGTCGCTCTATCCAACCTGCTTCAGCGTGGGGAGTTTGAAGCCGAGTGCGTTGAGACACAGCCGGCGAGCCCTGAGCCCAGCGTCTTGCAGACCAGGATCATCGAGCAACAAGCCGTGGTGGATTCGGAGGAGGAAAGTACGACTTCCAGATTAGCTTCTGTCCGTGCTGGTAATTTGGCTACATCCGCTCATATGGACTGGCAGGAGTTCATGACCTCGGGGCGGACCTTTCTCAAAAAGTACGGCTCAGAGTTGGCAGGTTGTACATCATTAATGACATGTCTGCTGTGGGTGTTTGGACAGGCCGATGAAGAAAGCGAGCTGATGTTGACTTCAGTTGAGCGGATCTCCACAACATCACCTTTGTGACTCGAGACGAGCCAGGACACAGGACCGCTGAGGCGCTTAAAGGTGCCTTAAGTGCCTAAGCGAAAGCCGGCTAAAGCGCTTGGCCCAGGCAATGTGCAGTTAGCACGTGCCAACTTACGACTCACTGCAGTGTAGCCAAGCTCGTCATGCTGAGAGTGCCCAGCCAGAGCCAGAAAAGATGTCAATGTGTGGGTGCGGACAAAGAAGCCTCATGCCATGCAGCCTCTTTGCGCCGCGAGTCGAAAGCAGCATCTCGCAGCGCCGCCCACCGCTTCGGCTCCAGACGCTTCTTCGTCGAGGCGTCATCAAGCTAAGCCAATGCAAAGATCCAGCCTCTCCCAGCCCAACCCAGTCCAGCTCGGCTTCCCCAACAGCTCCGTGATCCATGGGCATGCTTGGCCCATCGCGCACCTTCGCATTCGCATGCAAAGCCCCATCGTCGGTGGCTCAGCCTTCGTTTCAGAATGCCGTTTCGTGGAGCACTTTGTGCCGATGAGGCCTCGCCACTTGGAGGTTTCGGGTCTGTTTGAGTTGGTAGTGAGAGATTTCAAAGAAGCATTGACCGGTGGCAGGCATCGGAGAGGCCCGGCGGCACTTCCTGACTTGCAGAGGCTGTTGGAGCCTGTTCTGCAGCCAGGCTCTTCTTTCCGATGGTGCAGTTGCAGGCCTTGCAGGCATCCAGTCACGGCAGCATGGTCTTCTCCAGCACTCAACCCTGCCTGCGAGGCCTGTCAGAGCCTGGATCTCCCGTGCTGCTCTTGGAAGCTTCAAGCATGCTCAGATGCTCAGATGCTGGGTTTGGGCCCTGCGCATTTCCTCGCAGGTCTCGCAGGCATGGTCGAGCGTCCGGCAGAAGCGGCAGGATTCCCCTTTGAAGAAGCTCGGAGTCCGACTCCGAGTGGCTTTCCTTTTACAGGGCAGCGTACAGGTGGACGCATGGTGCATGTGCTGAAGTCTTGCGCTCAGGTCGTGACCCCGGCCAGACACTGTTGGACACGCGTCCCCTTCTTCACAAAGTGGATCAATAGCCTCTGCATGGATGATCCAGGCTTGATCTTGTGTGTTCTGCAGGCCATACCTGTAGGTATGGCACAAACGTAGTTGGGATTGGGAGGTTGGACAATGGTGGACGAGGACAGCTTCTTCGAGGAACTGAAGAGCGGACTCGTGCTGTGCAAAGTCGTTGAAAGGCCATGCCTCAGTGTGTGTGTGTATCATGTCGCAACGATGGTAGCATGCGGTCGGGCCATGTCTGCAGGTTGGTTCCTGGTGCGGACTTGACGACCAAAGGGATCTATCACAAGCCCAGAACCCGCGGCTCGCCATGTTGGCTTCAACTATGGCTTCAAAATTTTTCAGCAGCAAATTCGAAGGTGCGACCTGTGTGGCCAACATTGACTCTGCCTCAGCCGTTTGAGGGAACCGGGAGCCACTCACACGGAGACGACCGAGGACAAGGCATTGACTGTAGCCTGGAGAACAGGGGCCGTGCCGACGAATTGAGACTCGTCGCGCCAAGACCAGTCTTACCTTCCGCCAGGTCAATGCAGGACACATGTGTTCGGCTGATGACATCTACGACTGCAAAATAACGGCGGACCTCAGCTCAGGATCTTTTGAAGCTTGTGTGTCTGATCGGCTCTCTAAGTCACCTCTCAGGTCACGAGGTGCATCTCTGAACTCTTCGACGCTCTGCAGATGCGCTTGTGCCACTGGCTGGGCTTGTCGCACACGGAGTTGGGACAGGGCGATGCCTGCCAAGCAATCGCACAGGCGAGAGGTCCGAAGTCGATCTCGAGACATGCTGACGTCGATGAATGCACATCTTATCCCAATAGGCACGATGGGGCAAGGAGTGGGAAAAAGGCTGTGCATCGCATGATCCGCCCGGAAGGTTGCGGCCTTTCTGAGCGGACCTTGAACGATCCAGTCCAGCACTGTGATGCGCTGGTAGCTGACTTCGCCGACTGTACGAAAATTATGGCCTGGACCCAAGTCGCACCGCAGCAAGCCCCAGCATTTGGGCGCTGCAGCGAGGCGCTACTGGTGAGCACGGGTAAGGCTTCGGTGGAGGCTACGACCCGAAGCAACCTGAAACTGGTGCTGGTGTGTGTTTCCGCAGGACCTGCTCAGCCTTGCCCACCGAGAGCAGTGCTTCCAGCATGTTTCGCCAAGGGGGATTTTCAGGTTTAAGCTTCTGGAGTTTTAGGGTTTAGGTTTAGTAGTAAACGTTGTGTATTTCAACAGCAGGTCTGGCTTGGGCTTGTTCAAAAGCCAATCCTCAAAGTAACTGGCTAGCAACCCGTTAATGCTTTTGTTTCCGTTTGGAGGATCGTATGTTGGGGTTTAGGCGACTTCCGTGCCCAAATCCCCCGCAGCACGAATCCACACGGACAGTGTGCGATTGCGTGGTGCCCGCTTCCTGCACTCGCTAATTCTCCACACCAGTGCGCGATTCACCCGTGCACGAATCCACGGCGTGAGTCTGTCTTCCCAGTGTACGAGTCTGGTCTTTCCAGTGCTTGAGAATTGGTGCAGCCAGTATACGAAGCTGTCCTGTAGTTGAAAGAGAGTATATTGACAATTGTGATATTCCATCGTGTGCTTTCGGTGGAAATGCCAGACATCCACAATGACAGGACTTCCGGCGCAGAAGGGGCTCAACTCAAAGGGCTGCTACAGGAGAACGGCCGCATCCTGAGCCAGGCTCTCAGTTCGAGGTAGCAGCTTCGTCGTTGGGTCGTCGTTACGTTCAGAGACAAGGTGAGCTTCTGGAGGCCAACGGATGCCCTGTGCTCCTCGGTCCAGGTGAGTTTGCAAACCCACCGTCGTCGAAGACTGAGCTGTTCCCGAGCTTGCTTTCCAGATGTCAGACCATCTACAATTAGCTCTAAGGCCGTTTCCCGACACCATCCTGCTTCAGCTCCACATCATTTGGTACGCCAAGCTTGTGGTGCTTGTGCTTTCAGCTCGCGTGTGGGATTGCAGCTTCGAAGCTCAGGCGCTCTGTGGGTGGAGGTGCTCCAGGTGCTGCCGGACCTGGACAGCCCGCACAAAGCCCCGTGTTTCACTCTGCCCGCAGCCGAGCGCCATCTGCTGCTTTGCTTAGGGCCGCCTGATTGTGCCTGTGTGATTGTGTCAGGCGAGCCCTGGAGGTGTGGGCGGGGGTGTTGGCCTCAGATTCCGTCGCAAGCGCACTCGAGACCTTCTTGCCGAAAGGCTCAAAAGCGGAGCTGCAGCTTTGGATGCAGGCAATGTCCGAGGCCAAGCTTCTTCTGTTGGCCTGTTGACTTTCCTCGCTTGTCTTACCCTGTCTCAGCTGTTTTCAGGTCTACCCACTTTACTTCTCTCGATGACGCTTTCTGGAGCTGGTGCCGCGACCCCAGCTGGAAACGACCTCGGAAGTTCTGGGATGGCTGTCGTCCTCGGGACCGAGGTGGGAACATGTCTGGCCGGATGTCACAGTCGACCTTCATGCGAGCAATGCGAGAGCTCAACTACCAGGGTGATGCCAAGCTGGTGTGGGCCTGGCCCCCATGATTTCTGATTCCCACGATCTCTGCAGCGTGAACGCCGCCGGGACATGCACAGGACACGCTGAATCGGGGTGTTCCAGGCTTCATTAGCCAGGAGGACGGACATGCATCTGAACTCTTTGTCACTGAAGGGTTCCACGCAGACTTTGAGGACTTCGCGAGACCTGAGTTGGAGGCGAGCTTTGCTCAGGCTCGGGGCATCTGCTCCAAGTCGTGGCGACTGTTCTGCAAAGACCCGGCAGGTCCTGCAGAGGAGCCTCGAAGGAGAGGGAGAACCAGAGGATGGCGAGGAAGCCAGGCACACGGAGCGCGCGCGCCCCATTCATCCCCATTCGACTCCTCGACTTGCTGCCTGTGCACAGGAACTTCGTGGCCGGCGCAGAGGTCGCTGACGAAGCTGATGGAGAAGTTGTTGAGGTGCGGGACTCGGTCGAGAGTTTGCATTGTGCAGCTTTTTGCAATCAACTGAGGATGCAGACCAGGACTCCAGCAGGGCAGGGGAAGGGCAGCGTCTGCCGATCCAAATGTCCTCTCCTGTGAGGACCAGCCGGGTGCGGACGGTGTAGATGACCAGGTGCTTCAAGAGAGCCATTGTATGGTTGGGCTTCAGAATTCCGCCCGCAGCGCAGGCTGCTGCAGAGATCGAGTCGATTTCCTTCGTTGCGCTGCCACTGGCAGACGAAGGCATCCTGTTGACTCGACAGCCATGCGTTGCACACTGAACCGTGGAGGAGCCGATATCGATTTGGCCCAAGCCTGTCGACTCGCTGGCGACGAGGTCTCCGGAGCTTTGCGTTCAGATTCTTGGTGCATCTGGTGCCTGGCTGTGCAGGAGCCACGTCTGTCCGGTGCTAGCGAAGAGAGGCTCCGGATGCTCAGCGAGGACTCGTCCCAATGAAACGGCGAAGCCAAGCAGCTGCGTGACGTTGCATCACATGACAGGACGTCCGCAGGCAGCAAGACCTCCAAGAAAACGGGGCCACGAGCGCGGCCCGTCTTGCTCTGGACCCAGTGCGACATTGCCGTGTCTCTACGAGCGGTGACGCAAGACCTTTAGGTAACAGCAGCTGCAGCAGCTGCTGCTGCAGCAGCATCATCACTGGTTTCGGCAGAGGCGCCATGCTGGTAGAGCATGGTAGAGCCATAAAGACAGCAACATGTAAGCTCTTGGGCTTGGCAGGCCTTGCACATTGGTGACTTGCAATCCTTCCCGCTGCTTCCAGATTTGCCAGTCTTCTCCGACTTCAAGAAGGCTGCACTTCTGCAAATCCGAGCTGGGTCGTGCCACTGCGCCATGTTCCAGGAAAGCGTGGAGTTTGGTGACGAGGCCGAGGCCCCTCTCGAGATGACTGAAGCCAGGAAAGCGCGGACCTTTGGCAAGGCCATGGATGCCGTCAGCTGCCTGCTTTCTGAACTCTCA